AAAGAGGAAGAATGAGCCAGGATGAACAGATGGAAAACTTGAATTCTGTCTTCATCCTTATAGCCATGCCCCCTCCACCCAGAGCTCTGAGTAATTACCCAGAAGAATTTCGAGGGTAAAACCGCCAGCAAGTATCCCAAGCGGCCAGGTCTCTGGGAGGGAAAGTCAACAGAGCTGACGAGTGATTAGCCATCAACTCAAACAACTTAAAAGTTGTGGGTTCTGCCATCGTGTGTTCAGGTATCTAGGAAAATTGATTCTAGGTGAACATGTAGTGTTCTAGAGATAGCGTGTCTTCATACTTACTCTGCTCACAGTGCTTCCCCATGAACCCGGTGCGGCAAGTACACTGTCCGGAGATGTGGTCACAGTCAGCTCCGTTTTGGCACTGGCATATCAAGGCACAGTCCTTCCCATAAAACCCCAGAGGACATCCTGTGTGAGGAGAAAGGACAGCAGGAGTCAAGAGGCTGCTGAGGAGAGACAGCTCGTGTCTCCAACACATTTGTCTTTAAACTTGAAGGACTGTTAGAGAGTGACCAAGACAAGAGTACATGGCTTAGCTCAAGTCACAAAGATTTCTCAGATCCCAAGACAGGCTTCTTGCAAGGAGGTTGTGATTCATAAGCAGGAGGCAGAACAGTTGCATACCTTCCAGTTGAACTATGACTGTAATAGTAACTCTGTAGCCCTGGAAACAAGACTAAAGTCTTCTAACAAAGCATCCCTTCAAATCCTCAGAGTATGAGGTACTTCCTTTCATTCTTTCCCTCAACTCTTAGAATCCAGGATTCAGATTCCATGGATTGAAAACAGTGCGTTATGTTAAAATTACCTTGATGTTCTTACTCAGTACAGAAAGTCTTCTGTATCCATTACTTACTAAGATAATATTATCTCCTTCACCAAAGGTGTGTGGTAGAATGCTGAATTTCAAAAAACCCTGCACTTTACAGGTGCTTTAAAAAAAAATTAACAAGTCTTACAAAAATTAGCAAGTCTTACAAAAAAAATTAACAAGTCTTACAATAGCTAAGCTTTGAAACAACCCAAATGCCCAAAACTAGATGACTGGATCAAGAAGATGTGGTACATATACACCATGGAATATTACTCAGCATTCAAAAAATATAAACACATGCAATTTGCAGCAACATGGATGGAGCTGGAAGGGATCATGCTCAGCGAAATAAGCCAGAGAAAAAGAAAAAAAATACTGGATTGTCTCACTCATAGCAGGAATCTAGAAAACTTAAATAAGTGACCAGGAAAAAGAATAACTATAAGAAAGAAAATGTCAAAATCAACATACAACTATGAACCAGAGACACTCTATGGGGGGTGGGGGGCGGGGAAAGGAGGGGTTGGGGTCAAAATAAGGGGGTTGTAATTTTATGGGGAACATAAAAATAAAATTTAAATAAATAATAAAAAATTAAAAAAATTAACAAGTCTTCTCACTGCTGCACAATTTTCAAGACCCAGATGCCTGGATCCTTGGACCAAAGATGTTTACAAGCTCTATTGGTTTTCTTGGGCCAGCAGCTGCCCTACAAGGGTATTCAGGGCTCATTGGCATTATGAAAGTTTCAATAGTTGGGGACTGTTCCCCAGAATCACAGGTGTCTTTTATTTTTCCTTTTTATAGTGAGGTTTTAAGGAATGCTCAAGTTTCAATAAACAGAGGCTTAACAAAGACACCAGCCCCAAACACCCACCATTGTCATATGTTTATTTATGCCAGGTTCTTTTCATACATACTCTCATTGACTCTTTACAGTAGCCTGGAAATGCAGGGAGAATATTCTTGACCTCTAGATGGGAAGTGAGCCCTGAGTGCCCTAAGTCACACACTTGCAAATGGCAGCAGCAGGGCCACTATGCAAATGCAGGGAGGTCTGGTTCCAGTTCCCAGGTGTTTTTCCCACTGTATATATTATGCTACTTCTACTGAAAATGTTCCCCTGTTTAAAACAGGCCCTAATTTTGGATTTTTTAAAGATTTATTTATTTATGCATACAAGAACTGGGGTACAGGCCAGAGATGCGGGGGTGAGGATTCACCAGAGACAGAGTGGAGAACAGAACAGGCAGACTGAAATAGACTGCTGAGGGGAGCAGTGGGAGAGACAGGAGAGGTCTGCTGCGCCATGTGGGTAGCTCCCTGGTTGGCTGGGGATCGAACTCATGCTGCAGAGGCTGCGGCTAGCTGCACAGTACTGTGCTTAACCCCTTGCACCAGCAGGGAGGCCCTAATTTTGGAATTTAAGGAGTTTAGAAACTCCTATATATACAGGCATACCTTGTTTTATTATGCTTTGCTATATTGGGCTTTGCAAATTTTGGGTTTTTTTTTTTTTGTATAAAAGTGAAACTACACTTTGAAGGTTTCTGGCAATATGTCTATTTTTTAAAAGAAATAATGTTATTTCACACTTAATAAACTACATTATAATGTAAATATAAATTTTAATGCACATGGACACCAAAACTTGACTCGCTTTTTTGTGATGTTTTCCTGTGTATAATCTCTGCAGAATATGGTTAGAAAAAAACCTCTTTCCTTGCCAATTTCCACCTTCTTGCCACAGTTTAGGGTATATACTGCCTTCTAGAAATTCTAAAAGATTGGTTCAGGCTTTTCCCTAATTACATTTTCTAATTAGTATGAAACACGATTACCTAATTTCTGACCCTATCTTTCTTCTTCAGCTCATTTCTTTGATTTAAAAGTATATATTATTAATAAGGATAACCAGAATACATGTTTTCCTGTCTTATCTCCTCTATCCAGTCAAAGGCAAGAGGGCACAGAACAATCCTTTTTTCCAATGGTGCTGAGCTGTGGAGTACTTTGCAATTTATATCCTATGATGTTCAAAGCCTCATGGAAATAAAAGCTGTTAGGATATTGTGGGGGAAGAAAGGAAAACAAACAGTAGTTCTTAAAACATAGTCCTATACTGGCATCAGCATGCACAAAGTTGTCAGAAATGTGAATTCTCAAACCCGAGCCCCAGTCCTATGAAATCAGACACTGCGGGAGTGGGTCCAGCAGTTTTTCAAGCCCTCCAGGTGACTTCAAAATTCTCTAAAGTTTGAGAACCACTGAATTCTGTTCTCCAAGATCATATACTAAGTTAGACTGTGAAGCTTCACTCCCTTTCTAATTGCTGTTACTTATCCTAACCTTTGTGTTGTTAAAATAAATGAGGGCATTTGATCCATATAAATAGGGTCTGGTGAAAGGAGAGAGGAGAAAGAACAGTGCACCTCCACCTATAGAGCATTGCTCCACCTCAGTGTCCTGACATCATGCAGAGACAGAAACCTTGGAGTGTGGAAGCTGTTAGCCACCTGGATTCCTACACGTCTCTGGGCAGATGCAACATTAACGTCAGGGACCTTTAGTGAGCTCATCTCCTGCGTGAAAAACATGAGGTTGTTTCTTCTTGGGTTTGCCCCCCTGGGTGAGCCTCAGCAGGCCAGTAGCTTACTCTGTGTGCAGTAGAGACCTGTCCAGCCAGGAGTGCATTTACATTCCCCGTCATAGGCACTGCAGAAGGCTCCATTGTGGCAGTTGCACGTGTGGATGCAGTTTGGGCCCCAGTGGGCAGGTGGACAAGCTGAAAGCACAACACGAATGGAGAGGTCCGTCAGAGCTCTGAGAGCAGCACCGAGCAGAGAGAATTCCAACCACCCTTCTCGTCTCTTTTTCGTGAGAAGTTAGTGGTGTGTGCATGAGGACAAGGAAAGCACAGTTCTCCAAACCCAACTAAAATCCAAATGGCAATGCTAACTACACTACCAAGCAGCCTTACTGATTATTCATTCACACTGATGCAAGTTGAGCAAAAATCACCTCAAAGTTACAGATTTAGTTATTTGACAAATGCCGGTTCAGCACCTATGTGCCTAGCACTGTTAAAGGAGCAGTGGAGAAGCAGGGGACAAAATGAAGACCATACAATCCTCTGTAAGCTTATATTTCAGCAGGGGAGGCAGGCAAACCAACCAACCAAACAACCAACCAATGAAACTATCAACCAAAAATCCGATGGCAATAAATACTATGAAAAAAATTTTTTTTTAAATAAAATATATAACAGGATAAAGGGAACACAATGGAAGATCTCTCTGAAAAGACATTTGCGCAGAGATCTGATGGGCAAAGTGATGTGACTCAAGAGAGAAGGGATCTTTACATTCATGTCTATAATCTCTAGAGCCTAGACTCTGCTCTGGCATTGTTACGACGGTTTGTTTTAAAGCTTGTTGTATATAAGAATTGGTTCACTTATAAAATTCTTAATTGGAAGAAGCAGAAAATAATAAAATGAAATCATTAGAGGTTACTGCCCATTGAAGAGCAATCAGAACTTTAGATAAGGTATTTGGGAAATAATGTAAGATTATGGGTAAAATGATTTGATTTACCAAAAGAAATACTTTTTATTTATACTAATGCTTCAAGAGCATAATTGCTTAAAAGCAGGACCACTTATAATTTCTATATGGTTGCCAAGTAGGGAGTATAACCTAATAAAGACAAATCAATGTGATATAAATTTTTAAATGAAAAAATTTTCTTTTATAATCGTGTGAGCCATTTTTGCCCAAGAGCAAAGGAATAATAAATAGCTGACACGATGTCTCACATGAAGCAGAGAATGAATTTTCTAAGTACAATACTACCATTTTAAGGATGAAGAATCCTTGAAAAGTGAATAAGCAAAATGCCACCTATTTAGGTTCTTTTAAATCATTATTTGGAATTCAATTTAAATCCAGATTTATTATTTGGATTTGCATAGAGCTCTTAATGTGGGGAAAAGCCGTTTAAAAATTAAATAAGTTATCTTACAATTGTTCACATATTATTTTTGGATTACATAAACTCTAATACTTCAATCCTAAAGAATCTGAAATAAATAAGTAAAAATATTTGATCTTGTTCTAAAAAAAGACTTACGCTGAGAGCAGTCACTGCCGATCCAACCAGGGTAACATTGACAAGATCTGTCAATGGGGTTACAAGTTCCGTTGTTGGTACAGGTACAAATTCCTGCACAATTTTTCCCAAATCTGCCACTGGGACACACTGTGAATAAGTTATAAGTCAGTAACACAATTGCATCTCATATCACAGAACACTAGACGAGAAATGATTTTAAATAGCTGCCCATTTGATAGCTGTCTCTCCTCTCCAGCACCTCTCCTCTTGTATAGGCCTGTTTTTACAAAGACATGAAACCAGAAGCCCTCAGGAAGGCATCACAAATCAGTAGCCATCATCATTTCTAGAAATCTGACTTCCTGACTTCTCATTCAGGGAGTCAAAATCCTTCCTTATACTGACTTTTCATGGGAGGCTGTTTCCAATTAAAACTGAATTGCAGCATAGCTCAGAGAATAAAGAGATTTTGCTGGGGGTGACAAGCCAGTTTTCCCAAAGCTCAGAGTCATGTTTAGAGAAGTGTAAACACAGCATACGGGAAGGCTGGTAACTGAAAATCTGTCTTTTGAGAAGCCTGAGGACAGGTTCCATGTGGCTTGTTCATCATCACGTATCTCTCCAAAAATTCAGGTGACCCTTACCTTCATTGCAGAGGGCACCTGTGAAGCCAGGCAAGCAGTCACACAGGCCAGTGATGTGGTGGCAGGGCCCGCTGCTGTGCACACATTGTGGACAGGTCTGGCTGCAGCGATGTCCATAAAAACCAGGCGAGCAGACTGAAAATAGAATGGAAATGAACAGTTATCTTTCTGAGATAATTATCTCTCATATTCAACATCGGAATCTAGTTTAAGTTCTGGGTGACAAACATTTTTTTAATGATACTGAGAATTTTCCAAGTGTAAAATAACAACGAAAGCAACAAGGGCACTCTTTAATAATGAAAACTCTGATATGCTTGCGGGCAGGCACATGTTTTAGCTCTCTTAATTTTCTCATTTATGGTCCCAATTAACTTGAGGTTTGGCATAGAACAGAGGCTTGAAGAATTTTCACTGAAGAAATAAATGAAGTAAATAAAATCACAAATGCTAACAAGCCCCAAATAAATACTCTCAAACCATGTGTTGATCCTTTATTCTTTAGGAGTCATTACTGCAAGAAATAGATCTATAGTCAGAGTTAAAAACACTGTTCCTCCTCGAAGTGGCCTTGCTAAATGATTGTGATTAAAAAGTGAAGAAGTAAAGTGCAATATAATTAGGTTCTTCCTGAGACATTATTTGGATTTAAATATAGAATGATTGCATAGAGCTCTTAATGAAAAAAAAAAGCAATTTAAAAATTAGAATGATGTATTTTATAATTAGCCATATGTTCTTTTCTTGATTACCTTTACTAAAGATTGAGTAAAACCTCATAGATCATTTCCTAATTCAAATATTCTATTGACTAATGTCAACCACCCCACTTTTAATTCTGCAGCTCTGTTTCCCCTTAGCACCAACTTTAAGACTACTAGCAAGAGGTATGATTTGCCTGAAGGTCTGGCTAATGTTGACTTCTGGTAATTGAGGTAAGGCTAAAGCCAAAATTGCTGAATAAAAATTTACAGGTCAATGGATTTCTGGAACACCATTTGCAAGATTTAAGGCAGGATCAAAAAACATATTTTGATAATGATGCCAATGAGGCAATGAAATCATTACTGAGGAGAAATGGCAAAATCCCCATCTGTTAGGTGAGGCCTGAAGAGTGGAAAGAATAAATCTCTTGGGGAAGTGCTATTGAGGACAGTCCTGCAAAGGACAGAGTGACACACAGAGTGAAACTCATCTCTCAGCCTGGACTATGACAGAATATCACTACAAACTGAGGGTTGTGGCAGAAAATAATTCTGTACCAGCAGCCCTGAGAAGAGCAGATTGGAAACTGCCACCTAATGAAAAACACTTACTTCTCTGACAAGTGGTGCCGCGGAACCCTGGTGCACACTCACAGATGCCATCATCAGGGGAGCACGAAGCTCCATTTTTACAGTAGCAGGGCAAGGAGCAGTTGGGACCCCAGCGTCCCTCAGCACACACGCTGTCACAGTGGACACCTGAAACAATGCACAGGGGTAAGCGGGATAAGGGCTAAAGTCACAGTATCACAACAGTGAACAGGGGTGAATGAGGGGTAAAATTCACTTATCGTATACATCATCATATCACATATGATCATATGTCATAACATTAAAATAATTGCAGAAATATTTCTGGAAAAAATATTCCAGGGAAAAGGAGGAACAAATATCTTTGTTATACTTTCATATGCTGATTTTTCTCCTTTGGGAGGAGGAAGCAAAGGAAAAGCCCAAAGACTTTATTTAAAATTTATCAACAAAGCATGGCAGAAAGAAATCAAAGACAAAAAAATGGAGAATTATCGTGTGTTAAGAATAAAATAAAATAAAATTTATCAAAATAAAAATGTATTCCTTAGTCCTCAGCAATTTCCTACCTCCTTCTTTTCTTTGATTTTACACAGAAATGAGCAAAGTGTAAAGATAAGGTGAACCAAAAAGTAGTTAAATTGTTTTACAAAAACAAAATCTTCCTCCTGAGCAGGGAAACAAACACAGTCTAATGATATTTTATTGATACACTGTGCAGGACAGAATGGATAAACAGATAAATGAAGGCAGAATATCACAATGGATGCTATATATAGCCGTGGTCCAAGCTATTGATTGTCATGAAATTATACGTAGGTGTTTAACTCTCATTCTAGAAAAAGAGAAACTTTAGAGTCAGCCATGTGTGAACAAAACTTAAGGGAAATATAAAAATAACCCAAAATTGCAAAAAATAAAAATATAATCAGTTTTCATTTGAGATAAGTGGAAGTTTCTTATGCAAACTCGTATGTGAAATACAACAGGGGCCTCTTTCTTTTAAGTCAGAATTCTTCACATCTCAAAGAAATGCTCTTGCATTGAGAAGCAATAAGAGTGAATTATAATTAGTAATGAACTAGCAACTGCTGGCCTCAGACCAACTGAAAACATGATAAGAACAAGAGCACACACACTCAAGGATTCCAGAACATTAACACCACCCAGCACTGAGGAGAGGCTGAGAAGGCTGAGTTTTGTATTACAGTTTAATTATAAATTGATTAGGAGAAAAGTTACCATGGCCTGAACTTTAAGATATAAGGACCCCCAAACTATAATGTGAACATTGCTAATTGGCATGCAGTCGTTTCTGCCAAACCATAATTCCACTTTTCGACTGTTCTGTTTTTTTCCTTCTGAAAGTCTCCCACATGGTAAAGGCTGCTAAACAGGCATGAAAGCGCACAGACCTCATTGTGTCTAGCTTGAATCCACAATAGGGTATTATTTTAGCTTGGCTGCTTGGCTGAAGGAGGGAGATTAGTTCTGTTATAAAGCTGATTGGAGTTTAAGTGTTCTACATAGTATTAAGCAGGGAATTTGGATCCATTATGATTTTCTTATTCATGAGTTCACAAATCTATGATTTTTTTTTCCGATAACTTTTGAAATACAGAGATGGAATTGCAAACTCTGTAAATCTCCAAGTGTGATGTACCATCCAGATTCTTATCTGGTGTTTTTACTCACACCTATACAGATGGTTTCCACTACAGTGGTTTGACTTAAGGACTTTTTTGACTCTATGATGGTGTGAAAGTGAAACACAGTCATTAGAAATTATACTTTGAATTAGGAATTGGGACATTCCATTCTCAATTGCAGTATAATATTCAATAAATGAAATGAGTTATTCAGCACTTTATTATAAAATATGCTTTGTTTTTAGATGATTTTGCCCAACTGTAGGTTAATGTAAGTGAGCGCATTTAAGGTAGGTTAGGCTAGCTGTGATGTTCACAAAGTAGGGTATGTTTGAATACATTATGATAATTTTAATTTATGATGGATTTATTAAGATGTAACCCATTGTAAGTTGAGGGAGAGCTGCATTAGGCAGAAGGAATGAACTGCTTTGGAAGGAGGCTGCAATCCTGAACATTGTTTTGTAGTTTCGGAAGAAGTACCAACAAGCTTATCTACCACAGGTTTTACTCTCTCTATAAATTAAGGGTGATGAAAATGGAAACAGTCTGCTACATAAAGATTCTGACACTACTGGTCATTTTGGCCTGAAGCCATTCAGGCAAATCCCACTTAGGACTTTAGAGAAGTTGAGTTATTATTTTGTTGATCTGAAAATCACACTGGAATCTAATGCTGATTTTGACACCTTTTTGTGGAGTGGGAGTCATTTTTGATGATTTTTTTTTTTATGAGCCACTTGCCAAATCTCTACTGCACATTACACTTAATAAAATGTAGTTAAGATGAATGGCGTACACTTTAGGCCAAAAAGTATATACTGCTTTTTAACATTACAGGTTATCGTGATGTATGAATGACTTAGCACACTGTCGGTGAGAGTATGTTCAGCAAATGACCGCAGGCCAGACTGGCAAATGTGGATAAAGTGATCTTTTATTTCATATGGGTTTCCTAATAGGTTTGCCCAGCTGGTTAGTACACCTATCAGTCATAATCAATTTTGTCCAGGTAATTTTCATAGAAGTAACAAGGGCCACGACATAGCAAGGAAATCTATTGCAACATAAGCTTGTTTCACATGATTTACCTATCATTTCATTTCCAGAGACTCACAGGAATTCTAAAGATCATCCATCAAACTTAGTCTCCAATCACATAAGCATGTTTCAACAGAACAAACTCAGTTTTAAGTAACTTTTAAGATTGCAGAGATGTCTTTTCTTGGGAAGTAAATTATAACAATTCTATTATAACTCTTGCCACAAAATGAGCCCTCTTTTATATTCTCTATCATCAATAAAAATGAGTCATTTTGAAGATATTACTGTCTAATCCATTTGAAGACAAAGTATGTCTCAGTCAGGGAGATTCCAGGGAAAAGCGTGAAGCTCTTTTTTCTTCCGGCTAAACCATTTTCTCCCATTTTTCTCTTTTCCTTCAGACCTCTGTATCTTCTTATTATCATTAGAAGATCTTATTATCATCCCCTTTATCTTATGATCAGGAAAGAATAAGATAAATTTATTATTACAGACGTGTTACTTTCCTTAGAGAATATTTCAATTTTAAGAGAATATTCATGTTGAGTCTAAGCGGGCCTCCCTGGTGGTGCAGGGGTTAAGGCAATGCACTATGAAGCAATCTGCAGCCTCTGCAGCACAAGTTTGATCCCCGGCTGGCCATGAAGGAATCCACATGGTGTAGCAGACCTCTCCTGTCTCGCCTGCTGCTCCCCCCTCAGCAGTGTATTTCACTCAGTCTGCCTGTTCTGTTCCCCACTCTGTCTCTGGTGAATCCTCTCACCCCCCACATTTCTGGCCTGTACCCCAGCTCTTGTATGCATAAATAAGTAAATCTTTTTAAAAAAGAGTCTAAGCAATAAATCTCTAATTGTGTAACTTCAAGCAGTAAGACTCATGGAGGGGGAGTCTGGGTAAATGCCCCTCAAGATCACACTAGCTATATGGCTTCTGATCACACTAGCTATATGGCTTCTTTATGCAAGGCCAATATGGCAGTGCAACTAAGTTTGCCTTAACCATTTTTGGCGGGGGGTGAGGGGCTGTATGTTTTGTATATGTGTGTGATATTCCTCAATTATTTTCATTGATCTCATTCTGCTATTTGTCAACTTTGCAAGAGTCCATAACACATATTTTTATTATTGCTTTGCTAAAGACAGAAAAGAGAATGCAACTAAATAAATGTTCAAAGGTCTATCAATTGCTGGCTGGTGGGTGAGAAGTTCTCTAAGAAAAACCTCGAACAACAGAGTGACAATGGCCCCAGAATAGACACATCAAACTGTGTCTGGGGGTCATGGTCAGGACAGGAGGTAGCTTGAGAAGTTGGTGGGGGATTCTGGACCAATGAATGATGAGTGCAAGGCTCAGAGACTCAAAGAGGTATTGATCCTTCAGGAATTTGAAGTATTGGAGGCAGCTGAAATTGGGACTGAAAAGAGTGGGAAAGGCATCTGGGTAGCCAAGCAGTAGACATGTAAAGAAGATCCAGGATGCTCAGGCTATGGAGTGTGAGCGTCTTTCTGGTGTTAAAGGGATCAAATATACAATGAAGAGGGGCATCATTAAATTTGTTTGCAGGAGGCTGGGAGGTGATTTGAAGAGGCTGGAAGAAAGTAAACCTGTTAGTGATGTTTTGGATTACCCTGGGAAAAAATGATCAAAATGGCAAGTTCTTGAACTAAATCACTTGCAGTTGGGATGCAGGGTAAGATGAATTCCAGAGAGAAATAGGAAAGAACACAGATGGAAGATATGTCACCATACTACACCCAGGCAACTCCACGAGGACACGACGGTGCCTGATTTTCCTCTACAGCATCAGGTACATGGAGGATGTCAAAAAAATTAGTTGTTGAATAAATCAATAAGCACAGGCCTTCTTTCCTACATGATATTTGGGACCATTCTCCAACTGGATGGATCAACCTTGCCATTTTTATTTCCCTGATGAAGTGACAAGAAGTGCCCTCAAACCAGGAATCACAACATATATTTTATGCACCTACCATGGTAATCCTTCTCAGCTATGGGGATGGAGATGTCTGTCTGGCTTATATTGCAGAAATAGGCTTTCACGAGTTTAGGTCTGCTTTTTTAATATGCTGTCCCAGATTACCGAGCAATAGAAGAATTACAAGACATCTTGGGGAAATCTTTTTGGCATGTTTATCAAGAGTAGACCAAAGCTTTAATATGAGTTACTTCAGGAAACAACTTCCTCAAAGGGGATATCTTTAATTTTGCAGGAATCCTCTGCTTCAATGGAAGCATTTTTTTCCCTGATAAATGTTCTAAGGCTGATAAGGAGATCTGTGAGGGGCTGTTTTTGCCAGGACTGAGGACAAAGGGCTCTTTGATAGCCTCTACAAGTTGCTAGGCAATGGCTGAATGATCGTGATAAACTTCAGCTAAGCAGCTCTAAAGAATGTTCATGCATTTAATGCCTGATGCATTATGCCAGTGGCCTCAATGTGAAATCAGCATTCACTG